TTCCGTAACATCGCTCCCTTTGTCCCCATGCTTTCTCCTTTCTGCACGTGGTGCTGTCCAGCCGGGTGTCCACTGACCTGCTTATGTGACAAGCTGTGTGAGCTGCCTGAGATGGGCTACCACACTATTTCAACTCCTTAACTTATGCTTGGGGAATTGTCATTACTTGAATTTCCACCGGGAAAAAAAGACCTTGAAAATCATTAGGGCAAAATTATGGGAACAATTCAGTTTAGAGGAGTGTTTTTCAACCCTCCTGGTACTTCAAAATTGCCATATAAGCGTTTCAAGTATCATAAGGTCCTGCCCTAGAGATTTGGTGGAATATAAACCCTTGCTTTTTATTTCATTTTTAAAACACTGTTGGTGATACTAATATGCAACCGAGGTAGACAGCACTAGTTTAGGAAGAGTTATCTCACATCCAAGACAATTTTCCACCAAATAAAGTGATGTAATGTTTCCCAGGATTACTGAATTTTGATTAAGATCCTGTCACACCAGTTTCAATATGTACATATCCCTACAGCAATGCGGTATGAATTCTAGACACTTCAGTGGCAAGAGCTGACATTTTCACAACACTGCAAGGACAACCGAACTCATCACTAACAGTAGCCTTCCTCCTTGTCCCCAATTCACTTGCTAATTTACCTGTCCTTGTCCTACCCGGTGAGTTGGGAAATTGTTTTGTTTACATGCCACAGATGAGGAGGGTCATGCAATGTAAATGGGCCACTCTGTTCACACAAAGAAAGAATGATTTGCCATCTCTTCTTCGCCCTGGCGCCCTTCAATGCTGTTTTAACACTAGAGTCCTGTTTGTGACAACTCCCAGGGCTACAGAAAATGAACACAAATAGATTTAAGGACAGAAAAGATTCCTATCTAGAATATTTTCATCACCAACACTTTGTTTCATATTTTCTCCCTCTTGGGTTTTAATTTTAAAAAATATTATTTATTAAAAAATAATTATTGTTGAAAGTATTACTAATGCCCCCCACCCCCCATCATTGACTCCTTCTAGCCTGCCTCCACCCCCTTGCCCCAGGCCTCCCCACCCCACTGTCTGTGTCCATGGGGTATGCATATATGCATGTAAGTTCTTCGGTTGATAACTTCCCACCCACCTACCCACCCAACTCTGCCTTCCCTCTGAGATTCATCAGTCTGTGCCATTCTTCAATGTCTCTGAATCTATTTGGTCCAACATTTATTTTGTTCATTAGGTTCTATCAATACATATGAGTGAGATCACATGATACCTGACTTTCTCTGACTGGCTTATTTCACTTAGCATAATGCTCTCCCAGGTTCCTCCATGATGTCTCAGAGGGTAAGCGAGCTTCCTTTTTTATTGCTATATAGTATTCCAGGGTGTAAATGTACCACAACATTTTATCCACTCAGCTACTGCCGGGCACATGGGCTATTTCCAGATTTTAGCTATTGTAAATTGCACTGCTATGAATATAGGGGGGCATACTTTTTTTTTTTTTCTGATTAGTGTTTTAGATTTCTTAGAATGTATTCCTAGAAGTGGGATCACTGGGTCAAATGGCAGTTACATATTTAATTTTTGAGGAAACTCCATACTGTCCACAGTGTCTGCATAGTCTGCATTCCCACCAGCAGTGCACTTTTCTCCGCATCCTCACCAACACTTGTTGTTTGTTGATTTGTTGATGGTAGCCATTCTGACAGGTGTGAGGGGATTCCTCATTGTGGTTTTAATTTGCATCTGTCTAATAATCAGTGACTGAGGATTTTGTCAAAAGCTCACTTTAGTGAAGTGTCTATTAGGTCCTTTCCCCATTTTTGTTTATTTTATCTTTTAATATGACAATTCACGCAAAGCTGAACTTGAAGATAACCATGGAAGCTAGTGTGACATAAAAGGCAAGTCAGGACAATGCCTTCAAATCCTCGGGTGCCAATATCCAGCCTCCTGCCTTCAAGGATGCCCCCCACACACCCAGGGACCCACACAAGGGGCAGGGAATTGTGCAACAACACAAACATTTTGTTAAAAAGAAAATGGAATGGCCATCTGCCTAGGACAGCTTCTATGTCCATATAATATAGTTGAAACCAGAATTGTCTCCAGAGACCCTGGTCTCAGCTGCTTGTCAGCATGACTCCAAGGGGTGCAGACACTACCCGTACATGAGTGAAGGCCCATGATGGTCAAGGTTGGAGGTTTGCCCATTTTTTAATTGGATTGTTTATCTTACTTTAGTTAAATTGCATGAATTCTTATGTATTTTGGATACATTTAGTTTATTTAATAGATAATTCATGAGTAATTTACTTTTTCCTGATGCTTCTGCTGACTTTCCACCCTCTGTTATTACCTTGGCTTGCCAAAAGCGAATATATTTAATGATTCAGATACTCTGAAGATCTTGCCATGAGTTAAAAAAAAAAAAAGTTAAAATTTCTATGGCTTTTTGCCTTCTGCCTTACAGACTCTATTACTTCCTTGGAGGATCTTTCATTGTGGTCAAAGGCCTAGAAAGTTGAATTCCAGCTCTATGAGTGAACATGAGCCAAGGTGGGTCCATTAATAAAGCCATATGGAAATTACTTCTGGCCGGAAACAAAAGATTGATACAACATGCAGATATTTTGTTCATGCATTTCTTAAAAGAAACCAGTCTGAATGGCTGATACTTTATAACACGGGTCCAAGATACAACCTATGGCTGGAATCTATCTTCCAAATTAAAAACGCACTCAGGTTTAAACCGAAGTGGGAAGTCAGGAAATTCCATCTCGTTTCCCCATCTTTGGCATTTTGGAAAGGGCAGCAGGTTACCTCCGTCACGGAGAGTGTGGTGCCTGGCCTAGCAGAATTTTCTGAGTGTGCACGCTCATGGGACAGTTCCAAATTGTGATAGATGACAGAGCCAAGAATAAAGAAGTGAAAGCTAAATGGCCCAATTAGAGGTATGCCTTTTATACTTGGCCTGAGAGCCCGGGACCAAGCCAAAGGCCCAAGAATGAAGCTGTGTTTCTTGGCACAAAATAAAATATATTTCATAAAGCAATGGAAAACAAAAATGTCTAATTAGGAACATTTGGTTAGGTAGACTTTTATCATAAAGCCTTTTTATACCTTGAACTGTGTTTTCCTTTTCTGTCTCTTTCAGTCCTTTGCTTGATTACTAACCATACTTGTCCTCCTATAAAAATTTCTCCCTCTGCCCTTGCCTCCTCTCCCAAAAGTCAATATATTGTAAATTAGAAAATGGTTGCAGAAGCAGGAGTGGTCAAGGGAGAAAGTACTGTATTAAGAAATCTAAAAAAACACTGAAATCTACAGATACCATCTATTGTACTTGTATTGTTAGGATCGAAGAAGAAAAGGAGTGTGGAGAAGAGAGGCAGCACATGTACCTTGCTAACAATGCAGAAATACTCACCAGCCCTGTATTTTGAAGTTTCCACTTTAGACTCCTATCAGAAGCTGTCTTAACCTTTACTATGGCGCCCACTGGTTATCTGATTCCAGGCTGCCTTTCAATAGACTGTAAGTACGTAAGGTCCTATCTGCTTTTCTCCTCACAATGCCTGGCACAGAGATGATGATTAATGCTCAATAAGGATTTATACAAGCAAGTTGAGGGGAGAGAAGAGGCGAGAAAATGGAGTAAGTCTAAGAAGATTAACATGACACAGCAGACATGGCCCGGCCTTGTTACCAGTCACTCTCTGCCTACACTTGACTTGAGGAATGTTAAGTAGCTTGCCTCTCATATATGCTGTGTCACATCTGGTAGGCATGCCCCTATATTCCTAATTCACTTGGTGGTAAAATCATAGGTTCCATTTTAAAACCCTTCCTGGATGTTGACATCCCTAAATCAGTGTTAACCCTTCCTCTGTGTATGCTTCCTGTTCCTTGGACACACATCTGCTGAGCTGCCTTTTCATTTGCTTTATATTTTACTGCTTGAGATTTTAATTTATGGTTTACACATGGGCAACTTGTAGGCAAAGACAGTGAGTGGCTTCAACATCTCTGCGTTTCTCAGCCCTGGCTGCGTAGGTCAGTTGGTTAGAGCATCATCTCAATACACCAATGTTGCAGTTTCAATCCCTGGTCAGGGCACATACAGGAATCAACCAATAACAAGAAAGTGTGTGTGTGTGTGTGTGTGTGGTTCCAGAGACCAAACAAAGAATTTAAAAGAGATGTTGTGTTCCACCATGTCAATTAAGAGAAGGGCTGCAGATTCACTTGGGAACTAGCCTTGTGAGGGTCACTGACAGGACTAGCTTTGGTTGAGTGATGGACACATAACTTGTTCAAGGAATTTTGTTATAAAGAAAAGGAGAAAAATGAGACAGAGGGAAAATGAGATCAACTTTTTTTTGAAGGAACTACATTGTATATTGAGGAGAGAGGAAAGGGTTGTTATGGCTGTTGGGGTGGGAATGGGGGATTGGGCCTAGCATCCAAGTTGGTAGTTTTGACCACTGTTAACAGTAATAAGAGAAAAGCAGGTACACAGGCAAAAATGCAAGTGGGAATATGTGTGGTGATGGGAACTCTTGGAAGTTCTCTGTCTCTATTTTCTCAGCGAAATAGGAAGCAAATTCATGGAGACAGTAAGATGATCAGGAGATGTTAGAGGTTTGAGGTGAGAGGAGCTGGCATGAACGTTATTAGAAGAGTAGAAAAGTGAATGGAAGAAGGATATTTATCATGACTCTGGGCAGCGATGAGGGCCAGCTGACCATGAATTTGGGGCGAGACTACTCAGAAAGCATTTGGCCAGATTCAGCCTCTGGATGTAGGTGCAGGAACAATGAGATATATTATCCAGGTTTGAGGAAGTGCCGAGCAAATATGACAAATATGTCATATTGAACTGATAAACTTATTTCCTGTCACCCCATAGACCTCAGAGGGTAGCTCTCTTGGGATCACATGCCTTTCCCGCCATTTTTCAAGACAAAACCCACAATACCCAGGATTCTGAAATACTCACCGCCCTTCAAATCTGTGTTTTAAAAAATCAAACAATGCTTTTTGCATCATATCTGTGACCTGCAATTGAGGAAGCAATAAGTTAGGAGACAATAAAAATATTACTATTACAATAAAACTATTTTACTCTCTTAAGAATGTCTGAAAACCCAGGCTTCCCATTTGGAAAAAGTAGCATGTGAGAACAAATTTTTCTGTTCTGAGCTCTGATCCAATGACAATTCAAAAGTCAAAGTTCCCTGAATTTATCCTGATGTTTTAATGATAACATATGACACCACAGTGGTTCCAGTCACCTCTCTTTCCTGGTTCCCTCAGGCTGAGTAAGCTGTAGCTAGCAGAAATCTCTAGAACAACAGCCAAGAAAAATAAAATAAAAATAGGACACAACAGGAAGCAATGTATACCACATCTTGAAGAACACCATGCTTTGTGGTAGGAGCTCTTTAAGTTCTAAATTCAAGTCAGGAGAGAGAGGTGGGGTCACAAAGCAGTTCAGCACACAAAGGTCAGATGTGCTGCAGAAAGCAGCTACCTACCTCGTACCCCTTCAGGGAAGGGCCCACCAGGACCACGGGGCGCATGGAAGGCACCACATCATAGGGAGGCGTGTGCTCTGTCTGCAGAGAGAGGAGAGGACGTCAGGTGGTTAACAGACAGGGGGAACATAAGCATTTTACGTAAAGCCTGTTCTTTCCAAACTCTGTAATATGAGGCACTGGCTTTCCAGACATTTCTTTCTTAAAATTATTTTATTAACTTGCCTCTTTTCTAAATAAACCCAATCAGAGACTGGTGGGTTTATTTTTCTAAAGATTTCAGGTTATTGAATTGTCTACATTTTTTTTCTCTCCTTAAGAAATGCTACTAACAGATGAGTTCCTAAAGTAGAAGGTGCTGCTTTTGAATGAGAACTAGTTGGTAGAACAGATAGAAACATGCCTCATGCAGAATAGGTGCTTTAGGCTTGACTGGAAGTTAAGATTGCTTTTCAGATGCATTGGAGTTTTCTGAAGAGCCACATTTGCCAGACCTAACATGGTTAAGTATAGAGAAAAGGAAGGTTTCATTACCTTTGTGTCTTAGGTGTTTGTCTTACCTGGGTAAAACCTAACTTCAAAACACTGTAACTCATACCAAATACTTGAAAAATCCCATTTTACTCTAAGAGTTTAACTTAGCAGGTATGCTTGTTTCAGTGAACAGTAATTCGGATTCCTATCCATAGCTTATGGCTGATATTGTTGGACTTTTGGTTTCTAAAAAGAAAGGTTTATGTGTCTTGGAGGAAAGGTGGACAATGTGTGATAACCGAGCCTGCTTCTGTGGCCTCAAAAAGTTCATCATTCACTTGCATCTCTAACATGCTTCTCAGGAGCGCCAAGTAGTGTCTCTGTTACATAACTAATCCATGTCTTCCTCCAGGGGGAGGAAGTAAATTTCGTAGCAATTTCTAAAACTTTCAAACCTTTTCAGCTTAACTGCTTAAAATAACATAATCAAAATTAAAATCAAAATCAAAATTTTTCCAAATATCAGGTAACCACTAATTTTTGATTATATAAAAAATGGCTATTTTGATAGTAAAACTATCACACACTGATTTCCAAAATGACATCTTTTAATGCAGAATAGAGATATGAGGTTGTAGACCTGAAGTAAACAAATCACTGTGATATGAATTTTTCTGCATTAAGGAGCATCTGAAAAAAATACAGACCAACAAAAATATTCTTTAAACTGTTTTAAGAATCTGATAAAGTGATGTGCAAATGAATATAATTTTTGCATCAGCCTGTTGCTCCAGAACATCTTATTGCTGCTTAAAATTGCTCACTGCAAACTTTCTGAATTTGACCAAATTTAATTTGCTTAAGAGGGAAATTAAAAACCATTTCAAATTCGAAAGCTTTCAGCTGAGCTTTCGCTAATGCCATAGGTAAATATACTCAAAAGGGGAGGAAATATTTCTGTGATTGTGCTGTCAAATTTTACTGCTTAAAATCTTGTCTAGTATTCAAGATTAATTTTAAAAGCCATAATAAAGGTAGAATACATTCTTAAACAGAAATCAAACAAGACAAACATAATACAGTGACAGCACAAATGCCACACAAGCACCACTCTAAAAGCAGCCTAAAACACGGAGAACACTCTCATCATTGACTCTCAGGCTGTTTCCTGTTTTTGAACTCTGCTCTGTAAGTTGACCACACAATCAATAACATAAGAAGAATGAATACCAGTGCCGAAGGCATCATAAGCATATTTGTTAAATTATTTCAGTTGTACCACCTGGGATCATTCTGAAAATGTTTAGAAGCCAAGTCTTTATAACAATGAAGTATGAGAATTCTTTTTCCAGCAGTGTAATTAGGAGTAAAAATTGCATACATTTTAGTAACAGCTACTAAGAAATTTTATTGCAAGTCATTAAGTATTAAGCGGCCCATTATTTGATAGGTCTTTGTTTCCTTCGATCTGTGACTGCCAGCTAGCAAAGGGTTACCCAATGCTGGCAATCAGTCAGCTTCTCGGTCAATAAGGGAGCTACAGAAATTACCTTATTTGATGGAATATTGGTACTTGGTGATCATGACATCATTTTTACCTACTCTTTCCTGTTCACCTTATATTGTTCAAATTCTTCAGTGGAAAAATTGTGATAAACATTTTTAAAGTTTTGGAATTTCAGAGTAAGGAGAGCTAAAAAATCTTATCTGCACTACCATGGTTTTAGTTCATGTCACTGTTCGCTGAAGCCGGGAGCAGCTCAGCAACAGTGGCTTTCTAGGATTTTGCATTATCTGCCACTTTTTCTGTGACAAGAAGATAGGACCACAAGAGATGGGCTGGGGCTTCTGTATTACACACACAAAAAAATCCAGGAGTTTTAATTTTAGCCTGGAGTGCTCAGGTCTTAACATAACTGTAATTTGTTTAAAAAACAACAACTTCACAGTTCAGTATCTGACACCTCATTGATGAGGTCAGAGTTCCGCCACAGAGCAAAATACTGTGTGCAGAGGAAATGTGTTTAGGATGTGGAGCATGGAGAGCAGAGTAGGTCTTCCTCAGCATCTGTGTGCCAGGATATACCGGGGTCGTGTGGGACATGGTGACATTAGGAAGTGTGACTACAGAGACAGCGGAGTTGGCTGCGGAAAGTGGGGTATAAAAGAAGGTAAGGAATGGAAATGGCTGGGGAGGCCTCCTTCAAAAATATAGCTTTGAAGCTACAAAATGTGCTGAAAGGAACCAGACTTTGTCTGGAGTAAAGAGAGCTCAGGATTTGCTAGTTTTCAGTCAGGGCATGAGGCGCATCACTGCAGTGTCTTGGTTGGCCAGTGGCAAAGGTTCTGCGTATGGCCACCGCCCCATTGGCCAACGGGTGAGGTGCTGAAATTGGACCGATGGAGGAGGCACAAACATTGGGGGAATATTTAGATATGACAATAGGAAAAACTCACAGTAAACCGCCAAAACAAGCCTGCAGTTTTCCACTGGTCTTGTTCATCTGCAGATTTTGCACCTAATGGATTAGAAGTTTAAATACTGACTAAATTAAGACTTGAACCATTTTGTTTTTTAGTACAAGCTATGTATCTGGATATCATCAATCAGAATCTAATATTGGTTTCAAAACGCTTGATTATAAGTTAAGTTGAGAAAAAAGAAAGAGACAAAGACAGGCAGAGTAAGCATGCACAAGAGAGGTGCATCCCATCGTGTTGTCAGTGTTTGACATCCTCAAATGTGTAAACGAGTCCCCTTGGTGGTAGATATTATTCCATCAAAAAGGATAAGTACTGTAATGGTGCTTTCACAGGTCACTCACTGAATTTAGTCGGTTTGCAATGCCCAGACTCAATTAGCTGTCTGGTAGGCTCTTTCCTCCGGACGGAAATAATTGTATTTCATACGACTGTGGGATTGAATGCTAATGATGCCAGTGGCAGGATAAACACAGCTTATGTCAATGTAGACTTACCGATTTCTGCTTCAGCTTAGCTACAGCAGCATGGAAAAGAGACAAAGAATAACAGAGCATGCATGTTATTGGCTTATCAAAGGACGCAGACAGTAAACAGGACTAGAATGTGACGCAGTGCAGTTGAGCAGGCGGACAGATGGCAGCTCAGAAGTTAATGTTACCTTCTTAAAGAAGGGCATTCTTTTCTCTTTGGAGTGGGGTGACGTTACACTGTTTGCACTGGGCTTAGGGGAGCGGTGGTTTGCTGGAATATCATTTTCTTCTGCATCTAAGCCAGTAGCATCTATGTCTATAGCTATATACAGACAAACAATTCAAAAATCATCAGGTAGACAGGAGAGGAAAAAGAGGTTATAAAAAATAAAATGAGAGCAAGTAAAATTAACTTTAGTAAAAGATCTATAATGAGTGCTCAGCACAGTAAACAAAGTAAAATTTAAAGGCAAAGCACATTAAGAATACCAAGTATTTAACTAACAAAACTGAGAGTGGCCCTCATGATATCTACTTTCAGAGTAAGGAGAGCTTACTTGATCAATTTTACACAAGAGCTCAAAAAAATATTTTCAGAAAGACATTTTTTACTTTGTAGTTTCAAACATGATATTGGTATTTTCCATAGCAACGTACACCAGTATGGCACAGATCCCTTCACTTCTTACAGTATCTTCAACCAGCTTGTAAGCAATGAGCAACTCCCCTGGGCACCTCCATCACAGCCTACTTCAGAGTCCTCCTTGTGCTTGGTTTTGTGTGAAAACCAGGTGATGTGAAAAAGTTGCCTCAAATTGCAACAGGCATTTAACGGAAAGACAGAATTGAAAAATCCTAAATTCAGACCACACAAAGAAGTCATACGTGAGGGAACTGGCTTGGGGAAGGTTCCAGAGAAGGCAGGATTAAAACGATTTCAAGATGATACGTGCCCCGGATTGAAGGGCGGGCATGACTGATAGCTGCTGGGGAAACGCTGGGTCCAGCGGTCTCTGAAGGGGGCGTGGAGGCTTCCAGTGGTTTCTGGGAATCTTGCATGATACCACTACACCAGCGGCGCTGATTCCAGTGGTTTCTGTAAAGCCACGTGGTCCATGCAAGGCACAGGGCGGAAGGGCACACAGGCCGGAGAGAATAGGTCTTCACTTTTTAAAACCTTCCACCCCAAAAAGATATCACTTCAAAATTAGTGCTAATAATAATAATAATAATAATAATAAAGGCCCACCGTGTCATCTTGACGTTTATAAGATGCTTCCCTGTGCAATTACTTGAGAATTTTATTGACTGGAAAGGATTTTAAAGGTCATCTTCAGTCCTCTTATTTTTAAGATTTAAAAGATATCAACTCTCTCTTTTTTTTTTAAATAAATATTTATTGTTCATATTACAAATGTTCCTCATTTCCCCTCCCCCATTGCTCCCCTCCACCAGGTTTCCACCCCACCCTCTGCCCTTTCCCCACCCCCATTGTCCTCATCCATAGGTGCACAGTTTATGTTCACACACCTGCCTCTTCCCACACCCCCCTCACCCCTTTTCCCCAAGAATCGTCAGTCCACTCCCCTTCCATACCTCTGATTCTATTATATTCACCAGTTAATATTGTTCATCAGATTTTTCTTTAATTCTCTTGGTTTTTAGATTCACTTGTTGATAGGTATTTGTTGTTCATAGTTTTTATCTTTATTTACTTTCTCTTCCGAAAGAACCTCCTTCAGCAATTCATATAATTCTGGTTTGGCGGTGATGAACTCCTTTAGCTTTTATTTTATTTTATTAGTGAAGCTCTTTATCTGGCCTTCGATTCTGAGTGACAGCTTTGCTGGATAGATTATTTTTGGCTGTAGGTTCTTGCTATTCATCACCTTGAATATTTCTTGCCATTCCTGTCTGGCCTGCATGGTTTCTGTTGAGAAATCAGCTGACAATCGTATGGGTGCTCCTCTTTAGGTAACTACCTGCTTTTCTCTTGCTGCTTTTAATATTCTCTCTTCGTCTTTTGCTCTTGGAATTTTAATTATGATGTGTCTTGGTGTGGTCTTCTTTGGATTCCTTTTGTTTGGGGTTCTGTGTGCTTCCTGGACTTGTAAGTTTAATTCTTTCACCAGGTGGGGGAAGTTTTCTGTCACTATTTCTTTCAGTATGTTTTCGATATCTTGCTCTCTCTCATCTTCTGGGACCCCCATAATTCTGATGTTGGTTCGCTTGAAGTTGTCCCAGAGGTTTCTTACATCATCTTCAACTTTCTGGATTCTCTTGTCTTCTTGCTTCTGTGGAGGAGTGTCTTCTGGCTCTTTATATTCCAAATCTTTGACTTGATTCTTGCGATCTTCCATTTTGTTTTTAGGACTCTGTATATTTTTTATTTCAGACAATGTATTCTTTATTTCTTGTTGATCCCTTATTAGTTCTTGTTGATCCCTTTTCATATCCTTATAGGTCTTATCGACCTTTTCTAGGAAATTCTTGAAAAACCTTATAAGCGTGGTTTTAAACTCTATATCCAGTCTCTTCTTTTCCTCCATTTCTTTTGTTTGTGATCTATTTCCTTGTCTCGGCATTTTCACAGCTTCCCTGAGTTGGTAGGTTGGCTTTGTGTGCTAAGGTGTCCTATATGGTTCAGTGAGTCAGCCTGAGGTGGACAGTCTTGGTGTAGCCCTTTGTGGGCTGTGTATGCAGTCTTATTGTTAAGCCTTGCTTGTTGGTATCACTGGGAACCGTTGATCTCCAAGCCAATTGGCTATGAGGATCAGAAGTGTCTCAGCTAGGAGGGTTTCTGTATTCCGCTTGGATGGGTGGGGTGGCACAGACAAGCTTTGCTGAATCCCGCATAATTAGTTGCAGTCGAGTGCACCTCTTTGGTCTAGGCAGAGACAAAGCTTTAGATTCCTGTCTGCCCCTCCCTAGGAGAGTCCTATTGGCAGCAAATGAGGAAGCTAGCCACTGGAAGGGCCTCTGTGCTCCGCTTGGATGGGGCGTAGTCTTGAGTGGTGCAGACAAGCTTTATTCAGCCCCTCCCTACGAGGGTCTGGTTTCTGAGTTCGCAGTAATGGCCGCTGGATTCACACACCTCCGAGAGATCCCCACCCACTGCCCGACAGTCTGGCCTCTCCAGTGGGGCCGTCTATCAGCACAATAGGGTGGTTCTGTTTTCCTCCCAAACAAGAAAGCCAGCCACGAATTAGCTGTCCACCCTCTTCGCGCACAGGGAGTAAGCCAGTAGCGAACTTGGCCCTCCCTCTCTGAGCTCTGCGAGCAAGCAGGCAGCGAACTCTGCGGCTGCTTTTTCGCGCGCACAGTTTTCCGTACCTTCACAGTTCCTGAGGTTCAGCGCGCCTTCTTTTTCCTTCCCAGATGGTAGAGCCTCTCCTCAGCCAGCCATCCAACGCTTCAGGGTGATGTTTCCCCTGTTTTTCAGTTCTAAATTCAAATTTGTTGTGGTAGGCTGCATTCGGGTGTCTGCCCTATGCCGCCATCTTGGTTCTCGGAAATAAGGATCACAAGATATCAACTCTTAGAGTTTGAGGGACTTGTTCTTGGCAAACACTAGGCAGAGCTAGGACCCAGAGCTTAGCTCTGCCTGAGGGGCCCCTTCCTGCCCCGCACACTGGTGCTGCTTCAGGCGAGGCCCTTCGCACAGCCTGGGGGGCCCTTTCCTTCCCCCTTACTCCGTAGGGGGTGGAGAGGAGCAGGCGGGGCACATCCCCAGTGTCAGGACCAGGAGATGCCATGGGGTTGAGCTGGAAAATTGATCTGTGGTTTAGATGAGGTCAAGTAGAAAATCTACTCACCCTGGGAAGCACCAGAGCCTCCCATGCCACGTTACCTCTAACAGGAACCACAGTGCATTCAGATTTAAGGAGCAAATTTCCCCTTGAAATAACAGATGGCTCGGTGCTGCAAAGTCACTTCCTTCCCTGTGACATACAAGCGGCTCTAACCTTTCAAAGGACAGAGAGCATCTGACAGGCGTCACATTATTTTTCAATGTTGAAATTATTATGGATATTAGATGACTCAGCCTTTTGAAAACTAGGAGCTCTTGTTTGTTCCTCTTCATTTGGGTCAAAAGCCTGTGATGACCTGTTAAAACTGGCATTGTCTGTTCGGCATTGCAAATATCAGCTATTGCTGGCAGGAAGCCGAGGTGTGATTCTCCAGTGAAAGTCATAATGGACTGAGTTAATTCCAGGAATTTAGTTCGAATTACCAATAAACACATCTTTCTCTTTGTTGTGCATGCATATGAATGAGCGAAATGGTTCAGCACGTAGTGTGCAATGGAAACATTAGAGGACTGGCCCAGGGGTTTGGGTTGATGCTGATCCTATAATGTTTTGCCTTGGATCCCATCTTAGTAAACATATCATTAGTGTCTCCCTGGATATGATGGAGCGGATCTGGGCCACTTTTTCACTATTCCTGTACCATGTCTTAACCATCATCAGATAAGTTTCCCTTCTGGTGGTAAATTCCTACATACTTTTACCTTCCTCACCTTCTATTGGGCTTATAAAGTTCACCTTATCGGGCCAGTACCCTGAGAATACCTTCCTAAAATTGAGATCTGCTTGCATGTCAGAGATGACAGGGCCCTGGGATAGCAAAGTCCAGGAACTAGATTTTATTATTTATCCATTGATTCTACCTGCTGTGATCAGCAGATGTTTTTTTATTTTATTTTATTTTATTTTATTTTTTTTTAAGGAAAAATGGAAATATATAAAAAGTTTAGCTGTGACATTGCCCAGTTGTTGGCTACTCCCCCCCTCTCCCCCAAGCCTGAGCCAGGTTTTAAATTTACCGGTATTTGGTCACAAGGAGTCGAAACTCCAAGTTGAAAATGTTCTAGTTTACTAGTTGTGACTTCTAGCTCACTTAAATTGAAAGGCATCTGGACTCATTCTGAAACACTGAGAATTCTAAAACAGATGGCCACTTTCAAAACACATTAAAGAAGTGTACGAAGATTTAAGAAGCATGTTCAATTCATTTCAGAGTTCTATAAACTTTATTGGACTAGATGGTTCTCCTTATACTGAGAAACATTACCCCTTTTTAATTTCATACTTATATATGCATACCTTATCGAACATTGGTATTTACTTGTGAAAAAATGTTTGCACACATTTGAAATTAGTTTCTTTTATTCTTCCTCACTAGCATGCTTTAATATTTTTTTGATTTTTAGAGAGAGCGCCTTGGGAAATTTTTGTTTGAGATTTAGGATTTAGTTGAATCTTGGACACTTGGGTCAACTTGAGCGACATATGGGAGTAACATGGTTGTCTGTGTCCATGCAGTTGAGGGTATGCACTGTGCCATTTCCCAGATGTGAAGTGGGAATATTTTCTTTCCCAAAGCCTTCAGAACCTTCCAATACATTTACTTTAGGCAGATGCTTATATTCTTTGGCCCAGTCATGGGTGAGGAGAATTGCAGACGGCCTCTGGGAAACCAAGATGAATACTACAACTGCAGGGCAATCCACATTTGATTGCTTAAGCAGCTTTCCCTCGAGGTGGGTGGGGGACCTTCTGTGTAGAATTTTTAGAAGTTTTCTTTTAGACAAGTTGGGTTACAAAAATTATAGCAGGATACTGACATGCCTACAGTAAATTTTGTAGTTGGTTAATATTTACAATCCAGGCAGATAGAAGTGTTTTATATTCTTGGTATTCAGAAAAGTTATCCCAATGTCGTGTATTTATAGAAAACTTGGATGAAGTTTTAAATCACTTCTTCACTGAACTTTATTTTTAGTAATGACAAAAACGACATGTAATTTAACAAAAACTACAAACGTAAGATTCAAAATGCACCTGCTCTCATCTAGCCACGAGGATGAGAAGCCACAGCATTTTACAGGAACAGAAGAGCCTCCTTGTCTAGGGAAGGGGGTTGGCACTGGGGGAGCCAATAGGCAGGGTGGGGAGGAAGATGCTGCTTTATCACAAAGTGATGGAGCATTTCCCCAACCCAGGAGCAGTGTTTCTACCTGTGAGGTCTCCTTACAGCCTTAAAAGTACACAGGAAGCATGTAAAGCTTACACTGTAATCCCTACAACCTCATAAGTTTGAGAAGGTCAGATAGGCTGCCTTTCTCCTGTGCCTTCAGGAAGATCTATTCCCCAATGGGAAGGAAAGACATAAGCCCCACATAACACCTTTAAAAAGCTTCATTTTTTCCTTTCAAACATACTATTTTACTCAATTTTGAGCAACTTAGGATTGCTCTAAGTCAGTGGTCGGCAAGCTCATTAGTCAACAGAGCCAAATATCAACAGTATAATGATTGAAATTTCTTTTGAGAGCCAAATTTTTTACACTTAAACTTCTTCTAACACCTCTTCTTCAAAATAGACTCGCACAGGCCATGGTATTTTGTGGAAGAGCCACACTCAAGGGGCCAAAGAGCCGCATGTGGCTCAAGAGCCGCAGTTTGCCAACCACTGCTCGAAGTTATAAGTACATGGTTTTTGAAATCAATATGCATCCTGCAATGACTTATTTCTTATTGTGTTCAGATCTTGCTCATGTAAAAGGTCTTATAGTTTTTCTAAGAAGCCTTTGGTTGATCCCTAAAAGCCACCACCATCTGGAATGGGTGTGATGGTTACTCATAGGGGAGTCCTGTTAAGACACAGCAGTCATAATGCAGTGAGTTCCTGCACTTCATAATGTGCAATTCTCTGTATTTGACCTCCTCTCGGCTTGCTAGAAATCAGATATGGATTCATTTTGCTCAAATGTTCGTCCAGGCAAGCCTTATTATAATTGTACGGTGACTCTCAATTGCCTCTCTTAGCAAACTAAGACTCTAATCCTGGGCTTCCATGCAATTTGACCAGTTAGTCTCCTATTTCTACAGAATCCCAAGTTCTACACAGAATGGTAGAGCTGCCACATTTAGTAAATAAAAATTCAATTAAGTTTGAATTTCAGTTAACCAATAAATAATTTTTTAGTATAAGTAAATCTCATGTAATATTTCCTATACTAAAAAATTATTTATTGTTTACCTGAAATTCAATGTTAACTGTATGTAATTTATTTTATCTAGCAACCATAAGCATAAATCCACTACTTTATAGATTAAAAAAAACAACAACACAACAACACACAGAAGCCACTCTTCCTACAATAATTTTTATCCTTTTTTAATATTTCTATACATCTTCCATGGAACCTTTGGAGTATGTCAGGGTTATCACTCCCTCATTTATATTTCTTTCCGAACCTTTCCAAAGTTTCAATGCTTCTTCTCTTAGCACTCAGGCCTACGCTGCACACACACTGTGGCTGCACTGCGACTGCCGATGGGTGTGACAATGGGCACCATAGGAATAAAAGTTAAATACGTTAATCACTTTGATCATTTAAGCAACTGACAGTGAACACATTGATATATCCCCCCCTTTTTTTTAATCCAGAACCAGAAAATAAAATTCTCCATATTCTTCCTAACTATACATGGGCATTCTTATCTCTGATTCCTTTTAACATTTCTAGGATTCCCACAGGGATTCAGTGTATGTACATTCACACAACTAAGTCAGACTGAGGACAGCATGAAATGCAGGGTGTAATTAATTGTTCAGCACTCAGTACCTACTTACCAGATGATGGAGGTGTAGATTTTCTGGAACTAGGTACTATGTCACCCAGACTGGATGATGAATTTCCTCCTAATTTACTGGAGTAAAGCAAAAATTTATATTAAATCTGACGCTTATTTCCGACATTAAAACATTTGTATTGTTCAATAAACATGATGACTCATTATATTTTTATGGAGCTTTAAATGTGTCTTCTCTACAACGAGGCAGGTAGTAATTTCCCAGCGGAGATTCCTGGACTGCTACAACAGCCGTGTAATAGTCTCTGTTCTAAATTCAAGGCTTAATTATAAAAGGCCCTGGGAGAATGGGAGAGGAACTCCATTAATTTTTGTAACCCTCTTATTCTCTGTCAGAATCACAGGTAGATAGCAGAGATTTCCTTTTGCTTTTTTTTCTTTTCTTATCTTAGGACTCTCTGAAGCAATGTTTCCTTTTTATTTGGTTCCTTTATCCTTTGCCTTAACTTGATTATGTTTGCTATAAGATTGAAAGGACTCAAGTTTTCGTGAGCAACCTACAAAAGGGAAACACAGTACTACAAAAAACGTGCTAACCTCTAAAAGGCACACGAAAGAACACAACGAACAGTGTCACACATATCCCTGAACCCTCAGGTCAGATCGTGTCCAGGACATTTCTCAAGCATGGCTAATGTGGAGGACTCAGCCTGGTTAATTTAGGGATGATCTGAAGGGCATAGACTTTAGAACGATCACATTCTAACTTTTTATGTAAGACATGAATCTGTGTCTTAAAATGTTTGGTGTTAACATGAGAACAATAGCATTTATGTTTCTTACTAGCATACCAACCACATCAAATAACATATTACTAAATGACTCCTCATAAATGGAGATGGAAAAAATATCTTCAAAGAGTGACATGGAATTTCAGGATAGTCTTATTGTCTAAAGTTTACCATCAGAGCCAAACCAGGGTCTGATTGAAGTAATATGCCACAGTGTCTATGCATCAAAGTGCAATATTTACTCATGTAAACAATTATACAAAAATGCAAATTCTACTAAAACACCAGCAGCAGGCTGAATTTTATTGTTACTATACTGAGATTTTAATATATAAAAACAAACATAAAAAAATGTTAAGCAACTAGCATAGGCCCTCTACATATTTTTAAGATTCTTAAAAAATACTTCAGTACATTTCTTAAGGATACCAGACAGTAGATAAAATGAATAAAAAATGGTATTTATAGAAACAATCTCTGGTTGTTACACAATATCCATTATCAGGACCAAAACAGTTTCTTCCAGAATTTTCTTTATCTAAAGTACCAAATCTAATTTCAGTTTAAGCATGGATTTTACGTTCTCTTTGAATTTTAATAAAAGCCAAAGTGTTGTTTGAATTGTGTGAAATTGTGACAAACATTGCAAATAGTCAAAATGTCCAGAACACAAATTTGTCCTTAACTTTTAATTCTATCAAAATGGCACTTTCTTGAGCTGTGCCTCAATTATACTGCCTTTGATTTCAATCAGATTTTATAACTTATATATTGGAATTTTAAAATACTGCTGAATTCTAGTTATGTCCTCAAAACAAAACTCTATTTAAAATATTAGAAGACAAAAATAAAAACCTGAAAGGAGTAAAAACATGTTCACATATTTAGAAAAAGCTTAGGGGAAGAAGCAGGACAAAATGAAATTAAGAAAATCAAAGCAGAAATTATATGAGATTGTATAGGCTTTTTAGGGGGAAAAAAAAAAGCAATAACAAACACATATCTGCTGTAGTGAATGCTAACAGCTGGCAATGGGTACGATGCTCTGTCTGTGCCTGCCATGTCCGGTCTTCGCTGCCTGACTCACAGTGCAGCAGCGTGGTCACCTGAGACCAGGCTCCAGCCCACGGACCAGTTCCCATCCTCATTCCACCACTTCCCACCCTATGACCTTGGTCAGGTTCCTCATCCGTGAAGCGGAGGCTCTAACATACATCCTGTTCCCCAGGTTCTGGTGATGCTGAGCTGATCACTAACACTGGACCAGGGAGGCCCACATGGGATGCAGAGGGAACCATGCTTCCTTCACCATTTTTGCAAAAACTTCTCCCTACTCTTTAGGAATAGTTTTTCCTTCTCAGTTTGTATGTGAAAGAGCCAAAGAAAGGTACACGAGTCTGTATCGGCAAAAACCCATTCCAAATTTTATGCAAAGCATTCCACAAAACACTATGCCTAAAACATGAACCAAGAAAAGTTTTCATAAGATAATTTAAATTTTCATAAAATAATTATTGTATATACATGAAAAATATCCCCACCCCACCATCCCACTGACAGTGCATACTAAATTTAAAGGCTCCGAAAAACCCTCAGATAACTTTTCACCACTCTAAGCCCATTTGACCATGAAATCCACTTCTCAGGTGAAGTGACAGGAAAACTCTGGAAAATGCTGAATTATCTTAAAAAAACCCGAAACACAAACAAAATGTCCCCCAGCTGAGATAACTTCAAACCTCAACAAACTATATACGTATAGTGCTATGGATTGAGAACAGCAATGCTGTGCCCTAGGAAAATGAAGTCTTGACACATTGTAGGTTCTTATTAACTAGTATTAAGATACCATTGTCAATATGGAGAATAGAGACACTGGGAATGGAATGAGTGGTGTCAGGTCTTCCCCACCCCCCAGTAAAATGCCCCTGCTTTGTCTACCTCCATGCCTCCATCTTTTTTTTAATGACAAAATGCTTCCCATAATCTGAGGGCCCCCAGTAACCAGGGGGTTAATAAAAGTCAAACACAGGAAAGAAGTGTCAATGAAGGGAGAGATCCATCTGAACTGTAAGAGCCTGACAGTCAGGAAATACTATTCAAGAGGATGGATGGTTCACACCAAAAAGCACCTTCTGTTTTACTTGTTTATAGGGGCTTGAAAGAATTCTTGCTCACACTAGAACATTATCATTGACAAAGGATTTGCATCATTCTTTAAACAAATAAAATATAAGCTAGAGAAAATAGGAGCCGGCTATCACATTAAAGAAAGGACATGCCCATGTCACATCCTTTCATTCGGGGAGAAGCACGCCATGTTCTTGGACTTGGCCGCAAGGGGTTCAATTTCAAAGTCACTCTGTCTGAGTAACCCTTCTAGTGATCCTCTTAGTGCGAGACAGACAACTGCCAGAATGCTAGGAAGGGTTATTCAGCCCTAGCCTATCACATAACTCCTTTTATGGCTACCTGCAAAGTCAATTTTAACTGGTTTCATATAGAGTTTCCCTTTAAGTGCTTAGCAGGGAGAACTGGAAATTGATTTTCTCAAGTGAAAATGAAAGCTAATAGGCACCAGGGCTGTCTCTACCAGTGATGTCTGGGAATGTCATTTCTAAAACATCTTCTTGCCATGCCAGGCAGCTAGAGAGATGAATTAGCCACAAAGTTTGCTCAGTGTTGGAATATTTTCAGTTAAAGATTAGGACTTGATAATTTCCTCTGCACTGGAGCCTGAATTTAATATTCTAGGACCTTAGTTCTTTTCATTAATTATAATACATAATTTGATTCTCTCCCAAATCAGATGAAAATTAGATGCTGGTTGAACTTTTTATTTTTATATTTTTGGATATTTTATTTGAGGATATTTTTCCCATTGATTTTTAGAGAGAGTGGAAGGGAGGGGGGAGAAGAAGAGAGAGAGACACAGATGAGAGAGAGAAAAAGAGAGAGAGAGAGAGAGAAAGAGAGAGAGGGAGGGGAGGGAGGAGAGGAGAGGGAAACATAGATTTAAGATATACACATCAGTTGGTTGCTTCCTGCATGTGGCTTAATCAGGGTAAACCTGCAACCCAGATACATGCCCATGACCAGGAATCAAACCTGTGACCATTGGATGCATGGGCAGATGCTCTAACCACTGAACAACCGGCTATGGCTGGGATGAACTTTTTAAAATGCAGAACTTGTAATTCTATCAATATAGCTTATCACTAGTCCACGGAAATAACATGTAATAAAGTTTGTGGAATACAGCAAACAATAGCATGTGAACGATGGTATCATCTAAACACAAACACTTGATGTTGTTCTCATACCTGGAGTAGAATTTCCCTTGCTTGGCTCTCTGTTCATGCTGTAGCCTCATATTCTCTAGTTTCACTGGGCTTGGAATGAATCCGATTTCACAGCCTTCTTTAACCAATCGCCCTATCCACCAGTCATTGTTAAATTTCTAAACACAAAACCAGATTTGTTAAGATCAGTGCACCGAAGTTTTATTACGGCAATTACAATCAACTATGCTTCAACTATCACACTTCAGAAAACCATTAGGTTCATAGGTTAAGCCCACAAAAGTGAAGTATTTTTAGTTAACATGAAAATTTGTCTAAGAATTAAGATTAGTCTGAATTCTCCCACAGCTGCCGCTGTCACTGTAAATAGGCGAAACTCTCCCTGCTCAAAGATTCACCACCCTTCCTAATAAGCGGCCATTAGAATTATAGCGTGTTAACAGAGGCCTGCCTCTTACAGAATGGGATGAGTTAGAAATACTAACACTGAGAAATAAATACTGAAATCTACCTAAACTATTTTGCATCAGAGCAAAATTTACCCTTGTGAAAACATGTTTATAGTTAGTGTGGTAGTGTTCACAGATAATTTCTTTACTACTGATGATGAACAATTCTCTGTTGTGGATGGAATACTTATCCTAAACCTGTATGATTTGGTGTGACTTCCTTCAATGGAGCAGTATTTTTCAAGTCTGTTCCTGAACATTTGAAAGGAGAATATCCATTCTGGTTCCTCTCCCTCTCATGGTGGAAAGAGATTCCTCTCCAAGCATCAGCCATCAGAAGAAGACCCTGAATTAATCTTATATCCTGCCATAAAGTCAGATTCGTGGCACACCATCACTTCTGGAAACTTTCTATCCTTCCCTCCTAGCCAATGTTCCACATCTCTCTTTGAACACGATGAGATGGGAGGCTCGGGATTCGCGGGATTCTCTAGGGCCCTAGGAGTGTCGAACTCAATCAGAGAAGGGGCCAAAATCTAAAATCCAGCCTAAATCGCGGGCCGAATGGTTTACTGAACAGTCATAAACTGTCATTGTGATGGAAACGCAGCGGAGTGCAGTGATGACAGCGAGGTGCGGGCCACATTGCAAGGCCTGGCGGGACGGATTTGGCCCTCGGGCCTTGTGTTTGACACATGTGCTCTAGGCTCTTTAAATCGGCAACCATCACCTCCTTTGCTTATAACCTTTGGTGCAGTGAGCAGTTAAATTTACAAATGCTTCCTAGGACATGTGCTCCCCAGACTCCAATGGTAAATCCTGCAGGCCTAAGGAAACCGCATGCTCACAGCCTGACAACATCAAGCAGGGGGATTTCTGGCCCCTCCATCGTGTTCTGCACGGCAGGCATTTAATCAAGACCAACTCGAAATAAACCTTAATTAAGGGTGAATTTGAGTTGCTGTTAAATGCAAGGGGGTGACTTCTGGCATGGAGGAAAGGGAGTTTCTTGCTGTTTCTCCCCTTCTTGACTTCATCTCCTGCCATTCTCCCTTCCACTGCAGAAATCAAGCCCTGCAGGAGGGAAAGGGCGCCATGGTCTGAGTGTAGACACTGTCAGCAGAGAGGAGAGGTCATGAATTCCAGATATTATTATTAAACCCTCCCCAGACGGTTAAACTTGAGATAGGAGAAGAAGACAGCACATAGTCAATGTTTCAAATTAAAATAAAAAGCACAGGTTAAGCATAAAAAGGGATCATCTCGAGGAGCTCCCGATTTCTGGGTCGCAGAGCCCAGGGGAGCCTTGAAGTTATCACAAGAGGCTACCGTTGCTTTATTCTTTATAAAGGTGACAGTCCGATCAGGAACAGCTGAGAGGCACTGATTCCACATGTGTGTTATACAACTGCCCCTCTATGTAATACTATTTCACAGCAATAAGAAATACAAAATGATGTTTCAAGGTAAAAAATCACATGGACAGGAATTCCCATTTTTTCCCTTACTTCCTTAACATGCAGAAAATCTTTTGCTTCGAATGAGATGGCCATGCCAGGCACCGGAACATCATCTTCATGGGCTGCACTGTAGCTGACATTTGTCCGAACTGCAAAGGCAACAGGCTTTGTCTAAAGAGGGGGGGCGGAAAGGAGGACAAAGTAAGAAACAAGTGTTCCCTCAATTTCCCCCCAAAATACAAACATACAACTGTTGTAATGGCTGTTTTTTCCCCACTTTCATTTTTTATCACTAAATATTTTATGAGTATTCAATACTCAGCTACATACCATGTATCTCCAAACTAGAAAAAGGCAATTGTTCTCTTCAATTAATGAGGGTGAAAATGAACTGCTGAAATATGTGTTTATCACTTGTCAGTATAACTCAGAGAATAAAATGCCCAGTTATTTGGTTTCAGTGAAAAAGACTTAGTAACTGCTCCCCCTACCCCAAACATCTTCTTTAATTAATAATTACTACATCATTCCAAAAGGTACAATGTTTTGACAAAAAAGAAGAGAAAAAAAAGAAGAAGAAGCACAAACTATATTTGCTGATTTCCAGGTAAGTGTTTGAGATCAGAGTTCTAGGCAATATTTGTTTATCCATCAGTCAGGGGCAGGGGTGGGGTAACTAGGAAAGTTCAGAGACCTTGAAAAGAGGTGTTTTTCTAACTGGCATTGTGTTTCTTCCACATGATGGCAAATGGATTTCTTCTGGGCAGTTTCTCTCTACTCAACCCTTTATCTGGATTGTACGGGAGGAAAAGGGGGAATTGGATACAGAACCCTTCTTCGTTTCCACATTTCTCACAGCTAATCCATTCTCCCTGACTGCTCTCTGGGTTGAGGGCTGAGCTAAGAGCTGTGAGTTTACTCAGTCATCCACAGAACGCAGACAGAAAAGGAGGACCCACTTCTGGAAATGGGCACAGCAGATATGAAATGGTTTTTAAATGTTTGAAATCTAATTTTTAAAAAAATATATTTTATTGATTTTGTACAGAGAGGAAGGGAGAGAGATAGAGAGTTAGAAACATCGATGAGAGAGAGTCATCGATCAGCTGCCTCTTGCACACCCCCTACTGGGGATGTGCCCACAACCAAGGTACATGCCCTTGACTGGAATTGAACCCGGGACCCTTCAGTCCCCAAGCCGACGCTCTATCCATTGAGCCAAACCGGTCCCGGCTGAAATCTAATTCTTGGTATCCTTTATGAAATTTAATGATATCAATATAAGTGATGCTGTTCCTCATATGGGCTTTGGGGGAAAATGTTGCCCATATCCTACCACTGAAACACAATCCTTGACAGCAGGATGAAGGTGTTTTCATTTCTCCTTGAATTTTTTTTAAATACATAGATTTTATTCCCATAGCTACAATATTAATATACTTAAGTTTCCCCACTATTCTAAGTATTCTACTTTTTAAAATTGTGCACAGAAATCCTCTTTCTATTTAGAATTCTTTCTCCTTGGGAGATACTCCCAGAGGTAGCATAAGTAAACCTTGATTTATCAAGACTTTAAAAAAAATTCTATTCCAAACTAAGTCCAAATGGGCTGCACTGTTTTAATCTTCAACCAGCAGTATTGGATGGTACCCTTTTCAATAATCCCAAGTCATAACCAGACTCAGTTTTACTGCTAGAATGAGGATTTTCATAAGTAAATCCTTCTATTATTCAGAAGACCTTTGATCATAAAAATATGGACACAAGACAGTTGTTTATGCTAGTGTGAGCTTTTGTTTCTCTCTGGGTCTTATTCCTTGTGAGATACAGAGTTAAAGGGTGGCATATATTTTTCATCACTGGAAGACATAAAATTAAAAGTACAACTCTACAGAGAAGTCCATGGAAAATCTCATGTCTTTTATAAAATGATCAACTTTTTAAACATCAGAGTAGCAGGAAGAGGGGACACTGAAAAAAAGAAAAATAAGCCTGTCCCTGTTCCTCACGCAGACACGCTGCTCTCAGCCTGGACACCTCCCTATTGTTATGGTTTCCAGCATCACCTTTGTAGTCAGGGCCCTGGGCATGGATCCCTCTCCCCCTTCTCTCACATCCATCATAACAACTTGTGATGCTAACTGATCCTTGGGGCTTTTCTGTCTTGAGGCCAGTGGCCATTGACTCTCTAGTTTTTGCTCCTTAAGGCAAAGTCCTGAGAAGAAAGAATAAACAGGAATTCAGAAATGGTGGCCCTACAGAGGTCTCATCGAAACACCAGGAAGAACAGGCTGTGCTGACAGACAGCTCTGAGGCACACTGGGACAAGAGGGGTGTTCTGTGCCTTGAGGGAAGCAAGGCTGGTCCAGGCCACAGCACCGAAAGTAATGATGAGCAGAGAAGTGGGTTCTGCCAGGGTCATAGGTCTCCCTTCAAGCTGTCCTGTGTTTTTTTTTTAATTTAATTTAAAAAAAATTTTAAATTTTTTTTTAAATTTTAGGGCATCCCAGATTTGTCTGAAAGGCTTGGTCATGCTGGAGGGGAAGAAAGTCAGAAAGTGTAAGTGTAAAGATGGCCCCAGTCCTAGATGGGGTCCTACCATGACTGAATTGTGGAATGGCACTTAAATCCAAATTCAGATTTAGACTGAAACTCATCCTATGCTACAGAATCACTGGGATATGAAGGTGACTGGGAGACCATAGGGTCCTAATTCTACTTTCTTCACACCCCTTTAAATATCAGGCCAGGGCCATAGCACGTCTCATCTGCTTTTGCTGTCTCCTTCCACCGATGTCTGACTATTCCACCTGTCTCTTCTTCTCACTTTCCGGCGTCAAGGTAAAAGGAACTGATGGATTCCTTGTCTTTTTTGGCACTTCCTATGCGCATATGCGACAGAGCAGAAGGGTGATTAGTAAACCACTCGTGCTTAGTAGCTCCCTGTTGCCACACAGAATTAACGTTTGCTACTCTTCAGTTTGTGGAATAAATCTGAACAGATTCTCAGAATAAATCAGTAAGTACCAGTTCGATAAGGGTAGCATCTCATTATCCTAACATTATACAAAAGTGCTTTAAAAGCACAAACGCTGTGTCATTTCACCAGCACCTGTTTTGAGTTAATATTTCTGAAGAAGGGAGTGAGTAAGTGACACAGAGGTAAAGAAACACGCGTTCTCTTCCAGGTCCTTCTTCATCTTGTACATGGCACCACTGATAATGATAGAAGCTACCTGTCTGCAAGGAGCCTAGCAAAGTGCTATGTATCCTGCATAGATCGTTGCATTTAAATTAATCCAGCAACAACTCTTTCTCCCAGATGAAGAAGCTGAGGCACAAAATAGTTCTCCTGGGCCATAAGTAACGGAGGTATATTCAAACGCAACTATCTCACTCCTAAGCCTGAGCTCTCCTGCAGTTCTAGACTGCCATTCATTCCACGGGGGGTGGGAGGGCAGCATTGACGGCGATTTTAGAGAGCTCTGAGATGTCTGTGTGAAGTTTTCAATACTTGAAAGTTTTATTTTACAAAGGGCTCACAAATTGGTTGGTACAGAAAAATGTAGTCTCCCCTGTAGCCCAATTAGCCATCCCCCCCCCTTTTAAAAAATATATATTTTATTTGTTTTTTTACAGAAAGAAAGAGAGAGGGATAGAGAGCTAGAAACATTGATGAGAGAGAATCAACGATCAATAGCCTCTTGCACACCCCCTACCGGGGATGTGCCCACAACCAAGGTACATGCCTTTGACCGGAATCGAACCTGGGATCTTTCAGTTGGCAGACCGACACTCTATCTACTGAGCCAAACCGGTTTCAGCTAGCCACCCCCTTTTTAATATAAAACACAAATGAACAGAGTTTTATATGTTAGAAATAAGGGCATTCATTATAAGCTCATACATTTCTACAACTTTGCACTTAATCTGTGGTCCAACACATCAATAACAATGGCAAAACATGATCCTGTTTATTTGTGTATGACTTTTGTTTCTTCACATCCCTTTTTCACAACATACCATGCTTTATTCGTGCAAAGAGAATTGAGACGTTTAAATATACATGGTTTCATGGCTCCAAAGTGCCACAAAGGATACCTCGTAGAGAGATCTAAAAGCCACAATCACTATAATTCCAAGAACATGAAAAAATCATGCAAAGTTCTTTATAGAAAATGATTCATGCCAGCTGGTGTGGCTCAGTGGTTGAGCATCGACCCATGAACTGAGAATTCATCAGTTTGATTCCCAATAAGGCACATGCCTGGGTTGCAGGCTCGATCCTGCAGATTCCTATTTCCTACCACTTATACAACATGAATGGACTTTGAGGTTATTGTACTAAGTAAGATAAGTCAAAAAGAGCAAGAAAAAATACTGTATGATCTTGTAAAAACAATACAAAAACTCGAGTCATGAAGTAGGAAGAAAACAAATTATCAAAAATTCATGACACTATTTCTAGTTTTCTTAAACAATGACTTAATGAGTTAATAGCAAAGTAAATTTTAACAGATATAACTAAATGTTCACCTTTAGTTTATTAAAATGTGCTAGTGATAGAATACCCACTGATAAAAGAGCAAAATGAAATTCATTTAAAGAAGAAGAACTTCTGATAATGATTAGTTACTTGAATTGCATGTATTGATTTTTGCATTTCTTAATATAAAGACATACTTTAATATGCTAAATAGACAAATGTATTTTTCTATTTTCATTTTAAAGCCATCAAGAGCTAATACTATAAAAGGAAAACACATATTTTATTTTACTATATACAACTGACTCATCTTAATTTTAACTATTTCTAATTTGCAATACTTTAGTTCATAGAAAAGTATGAATCAGATTCCTATTATAAGAAACTACTGAACAGAGAGCTTAAAAATCTAATCAGTTTTTATCCAATTTCTTGTGGTACAGAATCATTTCCTGTGAAATCTGCTATACTCTTCTATAATTTTACATGATTCCAGTGGGAATATTTCCATTAAGTCTTACATAAGAAATACCCAGGAAGATGGTGATGTACTTTCAGAAATAACTACTATCTGCTTTATGACATACTAATATTTTAGTTTCTGATTAGCACTTCTCAAACCATTTTTGCCATCTTCAGTGATAACCAAAAATCCTTCCAATATAAAAATGAAAATCTTCAACTT